GCAATTCACTTCGCCCGATTTAAGAATTCAAGTCTACGAGAGCTTGGTTAGTACTGCGGTAATTGACTACGGGCTGCCACGTACTCGTTCTCCCCTTTGAAATTTCGAATGTGCAAATGCGAGTGATAGAGAAAATATGCGATTACCAACAATAAAAACTACAAATTAATCCTCGTCTATTTATATTTTATTGGGTTAAACCTAAAATTTTACCGTAATTTTTTTTTTGTTTTCGTAAAGTGTATATAAAAAGATTAACGGTTATAAAGAGGTAATAGTTTTACCTATTTCTCTTTTTTTTTTTTGCATTTCTCTATTGCTTTTTGCTTGGCTTTTTATTAATAACTTCCGATAAAGCTGTTTAACTCGATCGAGCAAACAATGCAGCTTGCATAATGATAAAATCTGGACAGAAACCGAGTTATACTTTATAATAATTAGAAGCTCAGAATTTGGTTATAGGAAGTTTTACACATAACTAAACCAAAAAAATAGGGATTGCAATCGACAGGGATCGAATCCGAGACCTTAAGATTGCGCGACAATGTTATAGCCATTGAGCTAAGGCTACAACTCACAATTTTCGGTCGATAACTTACGTAGACAAATTTGTTAGAAGCAAACTAGATCAGCGCACGTCTGAAAAGCGGTTCCGTGCTCCACAGATATAGTGTTCCGATAAATTATCAGAAATCTGGGCCAAACATTTTAAATTTTCTAGATTACGAGGTTATCCAAATTAAATTGAAATACTTAGTAATTTGTGGTTTCCTTGATTTGTTAAAACGCAGAAGGTTGTGTTTATACTTGTGCTTGGTTATTTGGAAGAGCCATGATATAAATATTTATATATTTGTTACATGACTACAGGTATGTTTGTCTTGCTAGTTAATGGTGGTGTCTTTGATCGTTTTTTACTACTTCTCTTTTACGCACTTGAAACAATTCTCACAGACTTATTTTTAATAATTAGTAGACCTAGAAGAAGTCTAACAATTAGGTTTGATACCAAGATGTCTATATTTTATATACTTTATAAAATTCTCTTTAAGAAATATATGCCAGGTTTTAAACATTTGTTAGAGTATTGAGGAAAAGATTTCAGTTCAGAAATTTAATCCCAAATTGCCATTTTTAGGCAGTTTTATGGCTATTATTTAGATTACTTCATCGCTTAGTTGTTAGATTATAATGAAGGTTCACGAAAAATAAACCCGCAGTGGGGTTCATTTTTTTTCCGTGCTTTTTTTTTGTTTTAGTCACATCTCTACATCTATATATATATATATATATACATTTCTTTACAATTAATTTTAAAAGGCTTAAAGGTTTAGATACCGGTCAGTAAAGGTTTAAATAACCTAATATAGGGAATCGCTTTAAAAATTAAATAGCACTTAAAAGTGGATATTCGCCTTAAGGGTGCAAAGCTCGTACCATGAGACACTATAATCATAATATAATTCTCAGGAATGTACTATAACCACCAAGCATAAGTTTTTAACCTTCTCCGCGTGAAGAATGAACAAATCTGGTGAGTTTTATCTGGTAAGTTTTTTTTGACTATTAAAATAACACACGAAAGGTTAACTCTTTCACTGTTATCAATGCTTTCTTACTAGCTAAAAAACTCAAAAAATATATGTATTTTTTTTTTCTGTGGTCGCATTCGGAGCTCTATGCTCAATCGTACATGTGTGCTAACTTTGCTCATTCCTCTTGGCACTTATATAAATATAACTCAATTAAATGGTTTACGGCTATATGAAACTGTTACTTTTATTCGGTGTTGTAGTTTAAATGCTAAAACATCTCTCTCGGATAAGCTAGTTCAAGCCTGGCCATTACCTTTTAATTCATTTCAGTGCTTATACCCATAAAACTTGTGGCAATCTTTTACCTTTCTCTAAATATAAGTACTATAAAGGTAATTTGTAAATTATGACATGATTTAGTGCTATTTGCTACAGAAATTAAGCACCTAGAATTCGACTTATAAGAGGTACGCTCCTTGCGTGTCTCTAGAGCAACCTAAGTTTAGATTATTAGATCTTTTTAGAAGTGCGTTAATTAATAATTAAGCTACTAGGTATTATTATATTTTCTTTAATGTTTATGTTGTTATTTAATTATTATTGACTTCAAAAGTTTATTTCAAGTACGTCTATTACTTATTAAGATGTAGGCAATATCCTGATTTTGCGTTGCGTGCTAGTTTCATCTTTTCTATACACATTAGACGAAGTAATTATATATACAATTGTAAAATAGCTTCTTGACTACTATATAACTCGCACCCAAATTTAAGTTTTAACCAACCTTCTTTACTAAGTCATAAATTTTTTTTTTCCTAATAAACCTTAAAAAGTTGCAAGTGTATGTTACTTCCTACCAATTTTTTTTGGCGCATACCAGTTTGTATTAAAATAAAGCGCATTTGAGAATATAATAACCCAAATACTTGTAATTATTTAATTTATTAATACTTTTATATTGTTTATATGTAAAAGAACCTTTTTCTAGTAGTTTAGCTAGCTACGGGGTATTTGCAATTGTAGCTTTTTTCCATCGTGTTAAAAAAGAAATCAAGCAACACTACAGAATTTGCGAAAATAAACAGGTGGTTAATCGCCTCCGATGGCAATTTTTTAGGTTCTCATTAGTGCACGGTTGAATAAGTCATGGCCAGAGGTTGACGTGTCACTGGTATTCTGTCTTCGTCCCTAAACACAGAGGAAGTTGGAGGCAGGCAGGTCGGCCTAGAGCGCCCCCTTATCTTACTCTCTTCTAGCTAATATAACGCCATTATTAAGTGGAGGAGGTGAAGTATGATAGCGGTCTTTAATCCATTTGACAAAGAGTTAAAAAGATGACCCTCCTTTCTCTGCCACAACGGACAACAACCCCTGCAGTTTGGCTTCCGGCGATTGACAAGCTCTTTTCTAGAGACCGTTTAGCATCAGTCTGTCGTCAGGAACTTTGAGTAGCAGCTGCCAGGCATAACGACCAGTGACATTGACCAGTTATGTTCATTATATAACCCGTCAGATGAGCAAAGGCGAACGCTACTTCGCGGCTGTATCGGTCGCTGTTAGTTCACCTTAAAAATGAGCAATTACTTCTTTTAACAAGGAAGGGGTTGAAGAGGATTAAAATAATTCTTTTATTTTCACACATTTGTATGCAAGCGTAAGGCAGTTTCCTGTACAATATACCCTACTAACCTAATTTTAATTAAGTTATATTTCACCTTTACCAACTTAAAATACTTTAAATTAAAATTTCCTTTTTATTCACTTTTAAAACGCATTAATTAACCGCTCTGAGACCGCTTGCTTCATGAATATAAAAATATTTAAAACACACGAAAAGATAGGATTGGCAAAAACTTTATTATAAAGGATACATCTGCAGTTAGTTTTAAGAGTAATGTTTACAGATTAACTGCAGCGTATTGAATACTAAAATAATTAGTAAAGTTTGTAACGGATACTCTTAGATATTGTACTATAGCGTAAAAATCTTCCTATTGGATAAAATTTTAATGTTTTTTTTATAAATGCAAAGAGCAATAACTTACTTTACAGAAGAGTGAGTGTGCACAATCTTATTGGTTTTCTTAGCGTACTGGTCGCGCAAGTTATGTATAGATAAGTAAGCACTACAACTATACCGTGTACTCTCAAATAAACTAAAAAAATAAGTATCTCGTGGCACTTTGGCAAAATGACAGCGCCTATCTGGTATTTTATGCAATTTTACTTAAAATTTCTTCTAAACGCTCAAGATGTAATAAACCGCCTTTATTTTACTTTAAAACAGTAAAGTTAACCAATACAAAAAGTAAAGATGATATTGTTAAACCCTTAAATTTAAGAGGGTAGCTTGTCTGAACAACTTTTTGGAAGCGCTTCCTTTGCTGTGTCACCAAAGTGCTTATCCCACGTGCTAAACTATGTCATTGAAATACCCTACGGCATGACCACGTGTATAGTCATGTGCCATTTTACACGTTTTTCATCTCACTTTCAATAACTTTTCCCTAAAGGGCAATGTTTAGGGCCCTTATAATATTCTTAAATAGGAAGGGAGGTAATTCAACAGAGTGATTTTAACAAAAATTAAAGAGGTTTTTTAAATTGAATTTACCATTTTACAGAGAACTTACACTCATGATGGAGTTTCGCACAAACTGAATTACACCAGTAGCTGGAGCTATTAATATATATATACTACAGACGCGTAAGTTATAATTAACCTGGTTATAGCTTTTTATACATGAAAAGTTAATTGACTTAACTTTTTAAGCACCATAAATAATATAAAGCGAGAAAACAGGAGAGTAAACAGAAAATAACACGAGCACTGACATGCAATTATGTCACCTTCTATGAACGCATGATAGTAGAGTCGCATGGTATAGCAGCACAAGGTACCAGCATGCGGAATATATAAGCACATGGTATAATTTACTTCGTGCTATGGGCGCGTGGTAAAGGAGTTTTAGTAAAAGCCTAATAAAATAAGTAACTCTGCTATAAATTCAAATAAACAGAGCATATTAATTACTATTTTACTTGTTCCTGTTTTTTTTTAATTTATTACTAAATTTATTATATCGCAAAACGAAGAGAAAATAGTTCAAGAAGACTGATAATAACTCTGTAATATTATTGTTATAAATTTATGAATACTATATAAACCTCAAGCTCTTTATAAAATTTGGTCCAAAAGAAACAACTTTTCTGCTTTATTTAGAGTTTCCAAATGAGACTTATAATTGTTATAAATCTTACTTCTAACCATCAATCCATAATTTCAATTGCATTCTTTATCGCATCGATTAGTTAACTGTAGTTTAACAATGTCGTATATTTTTCTTATTTGATTCTTGAAAGAGTTTATTATATATTATGTAAATTAAATGAACAAGTATAAATTTATAATAGAATAGTTTATATATTAAAATAATAATAGTAAAATTTATTTTTAACTTCCTTTGGACGATTTTATACTCACCAGTAAAATTTGAAGGATGGGGATATCCAATTACCCACGGCAAAATAAAAAAGTAATCATTAGGAGACCAAATAAAAAACCTTTGCGCTGACTGTCGATTTTTTAATTTTTTTTTGCACCACCAATATCGAGTTTAACATTTGTGAAAAGCTATAAAGTAGTGAGCAAACCTGCAATCTCAATAACTCCCTTATCGGATAGACAGTCGTCATAGATGCCTCGTAGCAGTTTTTTTCCTTATAATAATAATTATAAAAAATAATAACTATAGTATTACTATTGTAGCTTTTTATAGGAAAAGATATTGTATTTCGTCCTTTACAAAATTTATATGTAAGTAATAACAATAAATACAATATTTTTATATATTACAATAATCATAATAATTACGAACTTCCAAAGCCACACTTATGAAAGGGGGGTAATATAAGGAGCTGACTAGTATAGAAAAAGCAATAATAAAAAAATATTTTATAGTTTATGAAATTTGTGAGAATATAATTTATTATTTATTATAAGTATAAATTTTTTTTAAGATAATAAAAATAAGAATATTTAATAATAATTAAATAAAACTTTAATAATATTAAACAATGTTTATTTTGTTTATTAGTAATGTAATTACTTATAATTTTATTTATTTTTATTATTATTTAAAAAATATTATGCTATTCATTATTTAAAAGTTTTATTAAATTATTTATTCCTAATAAAAATTTGAAATAGAAAATTTTGGTGACAATTATTTTATATATTTCTTTTTTAATTATAAAATTTTACATTCAAAAGCTTATCATAAATTTTATAAATAAGTATTTCATATTATATAGTAAATATTATTATTAAATATTTATCTTTTTTTCGTATTTTTTAGTATATACAATATATAAATAATATCATTATATTTTATTATTATAGAAACTTTATTAGATTATTTTATAGTTCAAAGAATTCCATTTTGTTTATTAACAATCATATCATATATAAAATATATTTTTTTTAACCAAAACTATTATATAGAATATTATAATATATAATAACATAATAATAATTATGTATCCTTTATTATTTATATTTATTTTTTTATTGAATAATAATGTGTATGGAAAGAAATAATATAATAGAAAAAACTTTACACCTTTTCTAGTATTTTTTTATTGTGTTAATATTTATATTATATATATATATATTATTATAATCATTACTTTTTATCTTATTATAGTAATCATCTATAGTAAATACTATGAAAAGTATAAAGTTTTTATAAATTTTATTTAAAATTATATTGTTAAAAATAATTCATATATAATAATAAGTATAAGTATCAAAAAAAAATTTTATATATTTTTAAAAAAAATATTTATTTCCAGTTTTTAAGTAGTAAAATTTACTACAAATGAAGATTTTATATTCAGTTTATGTAAATATTTAAGAATAATATAACTTTTATTAATATTATTATAATATAATTATCATTATTATTATTATTATTATTATGTTACAGTAAAATAAACTATTTTCAGAATCATTGGTCTATTTTAGGATCCTCCGCGCTGTGTCTCTATCACGTGACTAACAACCATAAAAGTCAATGGGGCACACCTGATTGGTAAAGGAATAAAAGACCAATTGTAAAACTCATATATATAGTATATGGTCCACTTATTGTATTTTCCGGACTACAAAAAAAATTAAAGCCAGTTGCTCCCGCCCAAGTAGCGCCCAAGCAGAAAGAAGAACCTGGTGGAGTCGTTATAAGAAAAGTTTGTTAATCTTTACGTAAAAAAATTCTATAAAAATAGTAAAGCGATTACTATTTATATAAAAACTTTTATAATAAAAGTTAGTAATATAAAAAAAAAGATAGCAACCGTTAATTATTATTATAATTTTTATTATTTAACTACCAATCAAAAAGAGGTATTGCAAAACAAACAAGTACACTGGATAATATCTTAAGGAAAATATATTATTAAACTTTAAAAAAATAATAGAAAAATAGAAAAATAAAAGTTTTTAATATTAAACATCTACAAGAAAAGTTCTAAGAATAAATAATAGCAAAACTTTTATTATAATAAAAATAAATTTAAATATAAATATTGTAGAAAACATAAAAAGTTTAAACCAAAAATAAAAATATATTTTAAAAATCTTCTATTATTATTATTTATTCGAATAAAAAAAATTTATATTTGCTTATTTTTATTAAAAGATAAATAATATATAATAAGAAATAACTAGAAGTATAATAACATAAGTTTAATAAATTTATATAAATAATAATATTATATATATTAAAAGTTATATATAATGTAATAAAAATGTATAAAAAATATAATATTATTATTATTACAATTCCTTTTTAATAGGTAAAAGTATAGACTATATTTTTTATTAGAAATAATATGAATATAAAAATTTATAAAAATATCAAAAATAAGTGCATAGAAATAATATTATTATAATTATTCCTTTTTTAAAAATATATTATGAAAAAAATTGTATAAAAATAAAAAAATCCATAATAAAAGTTTTTATAAAAATATAAAATATAAAAAGTAACCGCTTAGAAAATTTATTAACTTCAGAAAGTTGAAGTGAGACATTTGAAGCTGATAAGTAACACGATTTTCATTGCAGAAAAGCCTCTTTAATACAAAATATATATTAAAAAAAAGTATAAAAATAATAAAAATAGTTTAGACTAATAAATAAAAGAATAAATAAATTAATGAAAATATATATATAAACATTAATAAATGATAATAATAAAACAAAATATATAAACGTTTAAAAAAACTTTAATATATTAAAAAATAAGAAGAAAAAGAAATACAAAGCGCTACTTATTAATAAAAAGTAGATTTTGTTGATATCTTAGCAAAAAGGATTGATAACATTACCGTGGCTAAACAAGATGAGACGTTAGGACAGTACAAAAGGTTGAGGATGGAGGTCATAACGTTGATTATTGTAAGTTTTTGGGGATAGCTCTTGATATGGGCCCTATTGACCTAATTAGGCTACATGAAAGAAGAGAAGAAATACAAACGATCTGGCTCTTTTACTTTAAAAAAATTTTTAAATTTATTGTTTGATGCCCATCGTAGGGCGCCTGTAGATTTACACGAGAAAATTTTAGATTTTTTAGATGTTGGCCTTTTAAGAATGTTGTTTATAAAACTAAAAAATATTTTTTGGTGGGAGAGGAATAACTTTTTTTTTTGCTAAAAAAATTTTCCTAATGGTTGAAGGCTTTGTTTATTTTTGGCCTGGGTTAAAGTTGAAGTGCGATAGTGAATTAAAATTTTGTATGTTTCTGTTTTAAAGCCCATTAGTGTATCTTTCTTACTTAAAATAAATGTTACCTCTACTCAATAAAAATGTTTTTTTTTTACTTCTAGAATATAATTGTAAAAATAGTATCAAACCTTATCGTATATAAATAGATTTATAAACTTTTGCTAACAATAAAAATAATTAATGATAATGAGATCTGTCACAATATTTTATTTGCAGAGGCCTTACTGACAACTCAGTCAACCCTAACCCTAGGGAAACCTGAAAAGATCTCTATTATATTCTATCATTAATTTTATACCACTCAATTATAAACTTAATAAAACATAAGTTTTTATATAAATTAGATAAATAAGGACCATAATATCTTATAAAAATTTTAGCCACTAGTATATATTTAAATCCCCCGAGCCACTAAAAGCTGTCTATAATACGCTTTAACTTTACCTAATTTTTATGTAATTATGTACGATATTTCCGGGTGATTTTGTGTTGACCGCTAATGGGATTAATGAAATTGGTGTCAGCTGTAGTTGGGTGGCTAAAAGAATTACGATATAACTCGAAAAGGACTTGGGCAAATTAAAATCTGGGTTGGCTACAAAAACATCATGTGTACTGAGGAAAACCATTTTTGTATGAATCCCTAGCAAAATACTTGGCACTGCTACTCAGAGGCTTTACCTAATTTCGGTAAACTCATTTTTAGGTAGTATAATTTTTCAAAGGGTCTTTTATAATTAAAAGGTTTTGAAGAATAGGAAAAAAGTAACACAAATACTTTTCAAGTATTCTTGGCAAAGTTTTATAACAAATTTCAGTGTGTTGAAGCTGCGGTTACCTTCAGAGCGCGTTTTTAGACATGGTATTAACTGCTATACTTTCACTCTAAATGGCGTGAACATTAAAAAAGTATAACTCAATTGCCAGAGAAACTTAACGTTTACGCTAGCAGAAAATAGAAGTAAATCCATAAAACTTTTCTCATTCTGGAAAAAACTTTTATTTAAAAGAAGCACAGGTTTAAAAAACTCTGACTTAGTGGAAGTTGCAAGACTTACTAGGCATCGAAATCTCTCTTCAACGCTAACAACTTCCAAGCTTAACTCGTTACAAAGCTTAACAAAAAAATTTTCGTATAACGTCGCAATGATACGTAAACAGAGATTTATAGAAAGTAGGGGAGAAAAAAGAAGTATTATTTATGTTGCTACAATAATTTTATTTATATATAAAAAGTGACGAACCCTACCCTAGCTTGACGCAAAAAGCCCCTGTTATTAAACCTTATCCCTTTTAACCCTTGCACAAATTCAAAATTGAGAACGGACTTCCCAAAAAACGCCATCTCTCTCCTCAATTCTAACATCTTTCAAGTTTAACCCGTTACATAGATGAACAAATCTATTTTTTCTTTCAACAACTCATTAATATTAAAATATAAAATACCAAATTTATTAAAGGATAAGCAACTAAACATGAAACCAATTATGCGTACATAGAGAAACTGCTTATATCAGAAAAAAATTTGAAGATTACTAATTTATTTTGTAAATATGCTAAACCAAAAATTACCAATATTCGCTGTCAATGTGTAGATGCAATGCTTAGGCGTTTAATGAAATTTTTGCTATGTTAAGCGAGTAATACCCCAAACCAATATTATTATAACTTAAATTTGTTTCCGGGGTACACGCATAACATCGAATTATTTCGAATTGTTTTACTTTGTTCCTTACCTCATGACTTGCTCATACCAAATAAGGAAGAAATAAAGTTATAATTTAAACAGATAAATAAATACATATTACTTAGAACGTAAATTTTCCAAAAAAAATTTATTAAATCTGAGGGTAAAAACTATTACTATTATTCAGTCTTTTGTAAGTTTCGAACCCGCTTATTGATGAATCAAATCATTTTTCATGAAAATTTTAGGAACACTGGTAACTAGGTCAGGCACGTTAGTAACAATTATAAGTAATGGAAAGCTGTCCTTTCACTACTTTTTATTATTTTTTGTTAGTTTAAAATTAAGTTCTCGTTCAATAAAAATGTCATAAAACGCAAAAAGTATTTAAGTAAAAAGGCTATGTTTTTTTTTCTGACGTGTTCTTTCTAATTTAAAAACTCGTTCTGACAACCCCTTTATTTATTAGCTGGCACCACATGCCTTATAATATTTTTTAGTATTATAAACTTTTAGGAAGTATGCGCATTTTATGATTGCTTTACAAAATTTTTTACTATTATAAATCAATTTAAGGTTATTTGAAGTTCGTTATGTTTACTAAAAAATTCTTCTATTTTCTTGTTTATCAGGAAATTGCTAAAGCAGTTTGACGTAATTAAAATATAATATTAATAAAAGTGGCATAGTGAAATGTAAATTAAAAACAAAAGCTTTTAAGTAAGCACATAGAATAATAAATCCTCTATTAATGAAAATAAATATACTTTATTGAATATTTAGTGGGTCCAAATAAATTTTCTCTCCCGTATTTTTGAAGCTAAGCGTTTATAATATCTTCAATTTATTAATAAGTGAAGGAACCTTACTGAGCCAGAAATTTGAACTTTTAAATTAAAATTGGCAACTTTTCATCCACATCCAAAAAAAAATTTAAAATTATATAATACCTCCAGTGCCCCGTACAAACGCATATCGTATCATAATGGCACCCAAAAATTCTACCAAACCCGTTACAAAAACTTATTTAATAAAATATGTCTTAAAATGATTGTGCGATTCTTACTATTATATGTAACTGAAGGCTGACAGACTGAGGGTATACCACCGTAATTAAACTTTTAAGAGATGTCGTGAGCCTTACACTCTTTCCTTTTTTTTGTCGTATTGTTGTTGACAGAGTTTGTTAGGTGGTGAGTGTCATGCAACTTATGCGACTCGAGAGCAATCAAATAAATTATACAGCTCTTCTTAATTTTAACTCTATATTATATTTTTTTGTAATATAATTTAACATACTACTCTCAATTAGTTTATTATATATTCGTTCTTGAAGTTATCAAGTCTGTAAGATCAACATTATTAAAAATTGTAATTTAATTAGAAAGTGACAAGCCTCACCCCATCCTGAGGCCAAGAAGCCTCTGTCTTCTTTAAAATTATTATCATGGGTGTATATATCAGGTTAAGTAATACAAGTGGAGGTATACTTAGCGGTTTTCCGCCACACTAGGCCCGTTGACGAGAGTTCGACCGGTTACCTCCGCTACCCCTCTCTCCTTGCGGGCAGTCCCTTGCGCTTACCTGTGCCCAACTCAAGACTATGCATTCTGCGCTCTGCTTAAAGGTCACCGCAAAAGTCATTATGAAAAAGTGTTTCAAACTTTTTCTTTTTAGTTGGTCTCGTTTCTTTTTCCTGCGTGCAGATAGCGTTATCAGGTAAAATTAAGTCGTTTGTATATTATAAATGATCAAAGAGAATATATAACTATAAGGAAGCTTTATGCATGATAACTCGTAACAACGGCCTTCCTTTGACATATTTTATTTGCTGTAACAGGATGAATTGATGGGAAACTCACCAGTGCCAACTTTGGCTACTCTTATATAGCCTACTATGAAATTTACGAATTTCATAAAATCTTTATAATATGGGCGATATTTTGGTCATAAGGAGAAATAATAATGTTTATTGGGCTTTACCTTCCGACTGTCGTAGTAAATTAAAGACTTACTAGAAATTAATGAAGACTTTCTCAAAAAAGAAAAAGGAAGCTAATTAGTCGTCTGCGGATTCAAATTAAAAGAGAACTCAATTTATTATTATATACAGCTTGGAACAGGGCTTAGTCACCCACTACATTAATAGTTTTTAATACGGGTATAACCCAGCAAAAATAAACTAATTTCTAAAAATCAGAAGGATTTTGTATACTTATTAAAATCATTGAAAATTTTCTATAAAAATTTCTAGTAACAATTCAAATCATTAATGATTAGCGCTATTAATAAAGTATTAATAAACTTGAAAACTTATACCTAGAGGAAATAAAGTTTTAAGGTGTATATAAAAAGTTTGTTCGTTGTTCAGTGTTTTAATAAACTTGAAAAACTATCTGACTCTTAATTACTAGTTGCAAATTCTTTTTTTTTAAAATAATGTTTACTTGTAGTTTTATGCATTTTTCTCTGCTTTTAAAAGTCCTATGGAAGTCAGAATGACTAACTAATTTAACCCTTTGAATATATTATGATTATTTCTTTCGATATACACCACTTTATAAACCTATAAACACTAATTAAGCGATCTTTTTGACTATTTTAAGTTCAACTTTAGTAAATTTTTTCTTTGATATTTTGAATGAGTATCTTAGCTCACCAACGTTTCATTTTTAACACCCGTATCATTGTTGAAGTGGGGGCAATGGTGTACCATCGCTTCTAATATGATATATAAAATATTTTAATAAATTATAATTTATTAAGAATACAAATAATTGTAGTTAAAATATAACTTTCTTTAGTAAGTAGGTTGTTATTTAATACGACTTACAAAAGCAGAAGAGCCGTAATGTCCAAGAATTTGTCTAGCTTATCTGATCCCAAACTATTGTTTTTGAAAACCCTGTGAGCATTGAAAAGTAATTAGAATGAAAATGGGTTTCTGCGTTAAACTATACTTGTTTTGTTTTGTTACAATAAAGTTA